ATATGGTTGCTATGAGGCAGGACTGACTTGATGGAAGTGAGTGTGGTTTTGGAGAGAAGACCCAAATCCTTACACTAGACCAATAGGTAAAATCGTGATAAATGGAAGAAAGAGTTCGTCTTTTCAAGGATTTTGTTTTGGATCTACAATCACTGCTTATGGAAGCAGCAGACAAGAGATCACACGACGTGTTGCATTGGGTCAATCTGCTGCACAAGACCTCTTCAGAGTGTTGGAAAGCAGGGAGTTCCTTTGAGGACTAAGGTGTGCCTGCCCCAAGCCATGGCATTTTCAGTCGCCTCATATGCGTGTGAAAATCGGACACCGAATAAGGAAGCCTGAAGAATTGATGCATCTGAATTTTGGTGCTGGTGAAGAATATTGAAAGTACCACGGACTGTCAAAAGAACAAGCAAATCTGTCTTGGAAGAAGTACAACCAGAATGCCCCTCGGAGGCTAGAATGGCGAGGCTTCGTCTCATGGCCTTTGGGCAGGTTGTCAGGAGAGACCAGTCTCTAGAGAAGGACCTCATGCGTGGTAGAGGAACAGCGAGAAAAAGGGGGCCCTCCACAAGATGGATGGACACCATGGCTGCAGCGTGGGCTCAAGCGTAGGACCAATTGTGAGGATGGAGTCACACCAGGCCTGGGCCGTGTTTTGTTCCTTGGTGCACAGGGCTGTTATGGGTTGGGACTTACTTCATGGGCACCCTGCAGCAATCACAACATTGCACCTTTACTCAGGTCACAGGCTTCGCCAGCTATAAGGACGTTAGGGTGGGATGCAACACCTTTAATTACATCACAGTGTGATCCGTTGTAAGAGGAGTTTTCCTGGGATGTGGCCTGTGGCACCTTTTATCTTACAAGCAATAAAAGGAGAAAGAAAACAGCAGCCAGAGGGACCTACTTACCACCAAGAAAGAAGAGCTGGAAGCAGCAGGGGTGCTGCTCAGCGTGGCTCAACAAGAGAACCCTGTGCTTTGGGGCAGGAGACCTCTTGGCAGAGTTGGGTGCCTACTGCAGGCACCTATCTGCAAAGGTAAGGAGGGCAGAGGCTGGCAAGGCCTTAGAGGTCTGAAGAGCTGAGCGCTCAGGAAACTAGGAAACAGAGCAGTGGAAGAGACAAGGCCCATGGGAAATAGAGCTGAGCTGGAGTTACTCAAAGGGCGAGGGCTACAGCCTGCTAGGTTTCAAAAAGTCGGATTTAATTTTTTTATTTCCTTCCTTGACCTTTGGGCCCCACTCTCCTTTTATTCTTCTAACTGATCCACTTGGTCTTTGATTCTATCTAGTTTGTTCCTTCCTCTCTGCAGGTCACGGGGAATAGAAAACCTAGTCGTTTTACTCCAATTTCTCATGTGAGCAATAGATCAGGAAGGAAATAAAACAGACCCTCTGGATTTTAGAGTCCATACCGGGGGTCGCAGAAATGAACTCCCAGCAGCCTCATTCTTCAGAGAAGGGCCATTTCCTGTGGGCCCCAGTGTCTCCATGTGCTAAGAAGATTGGAGGAAGAATAAACCAATCTTAATGCTCAGAATAATTGTTTTTATTGGCATTCTATGACGCTCACCTTCCCGACACAACC